AATACAGCAATGACACATACATGTAGCCCGTATTTTATTGATGAAGGACACAACATATTTTGAGATCAAATCTAACAAAACCGAGAATGGTTTCACTGAACATGAATACACTTTGCATCAAACGGTAAATCATGCAAATTTGAAAGAGTATTTTAAGTTGAGGGAATTGGTTTTGTAACCCTAAAGATGTAAATGACTGACTGGAAGGGAGCACAGAATTGTGGCCCGCGTCATGATGTACGTGTATCTTGAATTCCACACAGGAGTAGAATTCTCTCGCCTGGCAACCACGTAGGCCTGCATCAGTTGATTAACCAAATTAACAGCCATGGACAACACACTGAATGTTTTCAAAGCAACAAGCTCTTTAAAGTTCTGAGATTTCGGCTTTCATTCTCTCACTTAAAACCACACACTGTACTACATTTTTACATGTGTTGGATCATGTTGCACAAAGCTTGATTTTATATCTGTACAGTAAGTACATATATACTGCGCTATAGGCCCTACATGTACCAAGTATGTACGAAACTGTCCATAGCAACATACGTGCGTTGGTAGAGGTAGTCAGTCCAAATTGAAAACACAGCACAACCCGGCTTCAACAGACTGGTGAGGAAATAAACATGCAGAAAAATAGCATTCAAAGAATGTGAATGATTGACCTTTGTGTATTGATGTGAGCTTTCAGGATCATTAGCTTCTCCGCATCCCAAGGATAAATAACTCACTATTCCTGATGCTTTTGTCTTGTAACGCTCATGGACTTCCAATTCCTTCCACGAATTCATTCCAGTACGCACTACAGGTACCGGGTACCAGTCAGGAACAGGCAATCTTTCTGGGTAACTTTGACTGACTCTTAGGATGCATGTAATCTCCACTGGAAAAACCCAGTATTGCTAATGGGAACAATTTACAACATATGCTGGAACGGTAGTCTGCCACCAAGAGGTTGCAATGGAGTGGCAATTTTTCAAGTGTACGGTGGACTAAAGCATGGCCACCTTGCCACCATTTGCATTTGAGTAAAACTTGCAGACATTTTTGAAAGATGGGGCCATTTGACGTGATAGGAAAAAAAAGGATGAATTCAAACCGCTTACGAATCGTCTTCCTTGACAACCATTGGGAATTTGTAAACCGTTTCCCCTAATGCAAGTGCTGCGAAACATGGCTGTGCTGGCTTCCGGAAACACGGACAAATGTACGGTAGTGTACATTCATACATGTATGCACGTTGTGCCGCAACTGTGCCCCTCGCATATCATGTACATTTTCTGTGTTCCATGAGCCAAAGGGTAACGGCAAATTTACAAATGTATTTTCAGGCAAACTTGAGGGAGTGCAACCGTGAATCAAAAATGAAGGTTTCAAGTTTGCTGGTATATGCATGGTTTATACAGCCCTTTGATTTTCTTTTGTGTGATTAAAGCGGTCAGGGAGACCATGGATAGAGGAAGACACCAGTACATGTATGGCGAGACCAGTCCATGTCAACTAAAACTAATGCCTCCTCTATCAAAATAAGTTAATACGTGTTAAAAATGAATAATTACACACAAAACAAAAGAAATATATGCTGGTACATGTACAACACAGATCTATGGAAGTTATTATCGGTTCAGGAAAAAAGCAACACTTAAGAAAAATCATGTATCAAGCACCGGTTTGTGTACTGCATGCACAGTAACTGGCAGTGCCCACCATCTCATATGGAAATGCATTTGCTTTATTGCGACTGCCACAAACACGGATGAAAGACAGTTGGTCAAGTTGAATCATTGTAACCTTTGCCAATTCAACTGGCAAACCCTGATTGCCAACAAAATGGCTGACCAGCCATCGGCGGTTGTTACAGCCGGATGGAGAGTGGGTTTAGTTGGCAATTCTGTTTGCTTTGGCGTAGCATTGGTCTAAGAATAGACTTGGCTTTGGCCTTTTTTTTTTTACTTACATTACTTACTGAGAAATGTGTCCATTATCAGTGTTCATATTTGCCTCTTGTACTTAACTATTCAAGATTTGGCAAAACCTCTAAGACGAGAAACCGGCTGGTAACCCCAGCAGTTTATTGTCAGACCTCTGTCTTTGATATTGTCTGTTCATTGGCCCAGACCGATCAAGCGACAGGGCGATATATCCACGTATCACACACCGTGAGACATCCCATTCTGCCGACAGCAAGTGCATGCGCACAAGACAGGAGAGCTTCGGGAATTTGGAAAGCGACCGTTGTCCCTCATTTAGTCATTAAAAGTCAGTTTTAACAATAGGCCCATCGTATTCTGAACTTCTGGAATTCAGAGCTTGTTTCTTTGGATGCATTCCACAGCCTCCTCGTAATCAAGACATAGTTATGATGAAACAATTGTTGACAGCTGTGATGTGGGATATGACGTTTTAAACACTATGGGGGTCTGGCACACATAGCATCGTCGGGTGTTCAAAACGTCCTATTCCACATTACAGCAATCGACAATTGTTAATTTACACACTGTACGTAGTACAGTACATGTGCTGCGCAGACCATGCATCAACTATCATCATTGACTTCCTGTTGAACCCCCAAGTTGGAATATGAATGGGTCGAAGCAGACTGCAGGGTTGAGATAAATTCCTACCGCAGTTGAGCTAATTCCATTGAACATTGCTGATACACTGGTTACTTGCTTAAGCACTTTCTGGGGGTTACTTCCTTCAGGGAAATTGTATCAGATGGTTCTGTGTGAGAGTACACATTTGTGTATACCATTTGCTTTATGCACTACACCAGGCATGCCAGCACTGTCGTGGGCTATGATACATGTACGGTACATGTATGTGCATCAGTAATCTTGTCACGAGCATGTCACCCGCGTGGCAGCGTGATAATAAAATCGGTGTTGTGATGCTTGGCCGTGGTACGAGACTACATGTACCCGTATATCAGTCCCCGTGATGTCCGCTTGCCAGATTTTCCACCAGTCGGTGGGCATATGTATACAACAAAAATTAATGTTTGGAGTCGGAACGACAACTTGTTGATTGCGGGCTGGCAACAGAGGGCAATCACAGAAGGATGTTGACAGTTTTGTACATGTAAATGCAGTCTTGGACCTACATACAGTACTGTATGTTATGAACTTACAACATCATCAGGTGTGACGGGGACACGAAAAAAATTGGACCCCTAATTTATAGAATGACCCACATACAGGTACACTGTACCTTTATGTATACATGACCTTGGTTTTTATGGACCATTCAAGATAAATACCTAGCAGGCCCCACACTTTTAGAGTGCAGTATTCAAAGGAGGTTATGATGTTACAGAAATGTCATTTCTGGACCGCTGTTGTTCACACATGTTTTGAGTAGGTGTTGTATGGTCAGGTAGGACTCCATTCTCTCTCCAGAAGCTAACGAGGTATTAAGTACCCCTAGTTCCGTGTGTACTGGATACATGTACATGTATGTGCTTGTATGCAACTACATACATGTAGGGATGTAGGGAAACCTTTCCGATATACTGGTGCAATTGAGGTAAGGGAACAACCGTCAGTGTTTGAGCATCAACATGGCTCTTCAACCGAAGAGGGGAGGGGGTGGGGAGTGTTTGTTTTGTTGGTAGCGAC